CAAATGCATTCAAGATAATTTTCATCATTGTTATGCTCTATTTCTGTAGAGATGTACTTATTTCTTATATATAGTGCAACTCCACCTCCTTTTTTATTTGGCCTATTTCAGGGGTGGGTTCTAAATTTTTTTACTACCGGTTCTGTGGGCGTGGCTTATTTTGTGGGCGTGGTTTGATGGTCATGTGACAATTCTTTAGGATTTAGCAGAGGTACTGGTCTACCAGGCTTTTAACTGCTTGCAGAGCTGTTCCGGTCTACCCATTTGTTTTTCGAGCACACTGGTCTACCACCGCACTGCCTTTTAACACTGATCAGCTGTAGGGTGGCCCTTTGAAGCCCCGCGGCAAAAATTAAGTTTTTTTCCTTCTAGCTGATCACCTGGGACTCGGGAGGCAGCGAATAGATTGGGGGTGGGGCCAAATAAAAGGTAAGAATAACACGGGGGAGGAGGGCGAGAGGGCCCATCTTCCGAACAAAGAGAACCGGTTCGGTGATGTCATATTGTCACTGCTACCGGCTTGGCCGAACCGGGAGGAACCACTGGTCTATTTCTTTTAAAAAATTTAAATCCCTCTAGCTGTATGTTCCATTTGTGGGTTTCATCCCAGCAAGTTTCTGTAATGGCAACAATATCATATCTGCCGTCATTTACTTGAATTTCTAATTCACCCAGTTTATTCCTCATATTCTGTGAATTGGTGTATAGACATTTAAGTCCATTTTGTTGGACCCTGTGTTTACTGTCTACATAACCTGTGTTGTCCCTGACTGTCCCTACTTTCTTGCCACCTGTTTGATTAGTGCACATGGTATGGACTCACTATTAAATGCTTGGTTTTGCTTGACAGCAAGGTTGATAATCTTACCCGCACAGAAATCTATGTTACATGCACCCTATTAATTTTAGATTGCTTGGGACAGAAATGTTCTGTATCAATTAATTCTCTCTCCCCGCTGTTCAGTTTTAATGTTTATCCAGAAAACTTGTGAATTTAATGCCAAGTAACTCAGTCCCTTTCTTTGCTGGATGCAAGCCATCTCTTTTGTATGCTCCAGGTGTTCCTTGTGAGCAGTGGTGGGGCAACTTCCTCCTGAGTAGTCTTACAGCCCATCTCTGAGCTTGCCTAAGTTCTGCTGTCCATGCCCTTGGATCGAGCGGGGGAGGCAGCTGTTCCTCATCAGAGGGGATCTGCTGCCAATCAGCTCCTGTCAGCAACTGATTCTCCCCAGTGTCTGTGACATCAGGCAGCTCTCTGTCCAGTCGACCACCTCCCCCAATGCCCGAGGCAGTGGTGGGTTCCTCCCAGTTCGGTCCGGTTCGGCCGAGCCGGTAGCGGTGACGATATGACATCACCGAACCGGTTCTCCCCCCCTGCCCTCCCACCCCCCACCCCCCCATGTTATTCTTACCTTTTATTTGGTCCCACCGTCAATCTATTGCTGCCTCCTGAGTCCCAGCTGATGACTAGAGGGAAAAAAACTGTTTAAACTCTTGCCGCGGGGCTTCAAAGGGCCGTCCTACAGCTGATCAGTGTTCAAAGCAAACAAATGAGTCGGGTTGTAAGTGCGAGGACTGGTCGTAAGTGCGAGGACCTTCCAGAAATGACTCTGATCAGCTAGCCATGCCCACCTAGTCACATGACTTCCAAGCCACACCCACAAAATAAGCCACACCCACAGAACTGGTAGTAAAAAAGTTTAGAACCCACTCCTGGCCCAAGGGGCCCAGGACAGCGTCGTCCTCATTTCCTGACCTCTCCAAACATGCCAAAGGATATGTGCCATCCCTATTGGACGGCCTCCTCCTCCTCCAAAACGGGCTCCGATGGGGCCATGACTACTTCTGACTGTTGCAGTATCCCCGTGGTCACATGATTAAAATTCAGTACGCTTGGCAATTGAGTCCTATTTATGACGGTTGCGGTGTCCATGAGTCATGTGATCTGCTTTTGCGACCTTCTGACAAAGGGGGAAGCCAGATTCACTTAATAACTGCGGGGATTCACTTAACAACCATCGAAATGAGGTCGTAAAATGGGGCAAAATTCACTTCACAAATGTCTCACTAATGTGTAGTGAGGACAGAACAGTGAAACAGCAGCTATCCAGCAAGTGGGATCAAGGATAATGACTGTACAGAGACTGGCTACTTTGCCAACGCAGCTACCTGCATATGCTAGTCTCTAGACCAGGGGTCTAGAGGGACGCGGTGGCTCAGTGGCTAAGACATTGAGCTTATCGATTGAAATATTGGCAGTTCAGCAGTTCAAATCCCGAGTGCCGCGTAACGGGTTGAGCTCCCGTTACTTGCCCCAGCTTCTGCCAACCTAGCAGTTCGAAAGAACATAAGCTTTCGAGAGGAAGCACCGCCCCCTAGAGTTGGGAACGACTAGCACATATGTGCGAGGGGAACTTTTACCTTTACCTTTAGACCAGGGGTGTCAAGCTCAAGGCCAGCGGGCCAGAATCAGCCCACGGGGCGCTTAGTTCTGGCCCATGGGGCCACCCTGGGAACAGCAAAGGACTGGCCCGCGGTGTTTCTGCCAATGAAAATGGGGCTATGCGCGGCCCTCCTGAGCTCCATTTTCGCTGGCAGAGGGCTAGAAAAACAAACTAAAAACAAAACAAAAGGAGAAATGTTTCCTCTTTTGCATTTGAGCATGCAAGAAGGGACAGGAAAGGAGAAAGGGAAAGAGGAAAGAAAAAGAATGAAAGATGGGAAGAGAGCAAGAAGGAAAAATAAGGAAAGTATGCAATTAGGTGTTCAAATAGAATAGAATAACAGAGTTGGAAGGGACCTTGGAGGTCTTCTAGTCCAACCCCCTGCCTAGGCAGGAAATCTTACACCATTTCAGGCAAATGGTCATCCAACATCTTCTTAAAAACTTCCAGTGTTGGAGCATTTACAACTTCTGCAGGCAAGTTGTTCCACTGATTGTTCCCTGGCCATGCCCACCCGGCCCTCCAAAGTCAAACACTTTTACCAGAGAATTACAGTAAAGAAGATACATATTTGATTATTCATATAATAACAGCGGCTAGAATTGTACTTGCACAAAATTGGAAAGCAGATAAAATCCCGTTGGAAGGAGAAATTCTAAAGAAAATTTTAAAGTGTGCCGAAATGAATAGATTAACATTGAGAATAAAAGATAAAGAGGAGTCGATGTATTTCAAGAGATGGGAAAATTTTTATGATTGGTTAGAAAGGAAATATGAATAAGGGTATAGAGATAAAATAGATAGAGAAAACAATTAAAAAAATGGATACCCAGACGATGCCAAGTAAAAGGAGAAAGGGGGGGGGGTAAAAGGGGAAAAAAGTGAGATATTATAAAAATGTACACAGCTGATGAAATAAAAATAAATATTAATTGAATAAGAAGTTGAAATGAGAATAAAGATAATTAGAAAATCGGGGCTGCTCTAATACCACTTTAGATTGAACTGAAAAGGGAAACAACAAGAGAGAGGGGAAGGAGTAGAGGGAGAGGAGAGGAGAGGAGAGGAGAGGAGAAGAGAAGAGAAGAGGAGAGGAGAAGAGAAGAGAAGAGAAGAGAAGATTAGAAGGGGGGAAGAAGAGAGGAGTGGGGGAATGGAAGGGGAAGTAGGAAAGAGAAGGAGAGGAAGAACGAAGAAAGTAGGAGGAGAAAGAGGAAGGAAGAGAAGGGGAGGAGAAGAAGAAAGATTGGAATAAAGGTAAAGGGTAAAAGAGCAGCCCCGAAAAAGTAAAAATTAAAAATGAAAGTTAAAAGAGAAGATGAATGAAAAATGATGGATAAATGACCGTACATGTAAATGTGTTTATGAGAAATAAAAATAAAAAAACTTTTTTTGAAAAGAAAAACACAAAGTCAAACACAACCCTCCACGAAATCGAGTTTGACACCCTTGCTCTCTAAACAGCCAAGTAGCTCCAGAAGACACCATGTCACAGAGCCTCATACAAGGCAAGATCTCAAGTCTTCCAAATAGTCATCGGCAAGTGATGCGTTTGGCCATTGCCAGCACAAAGGCTGAAGCAGGAAAAGCACGAGCAGCCTTTGCTCAAAATGAAAAGAGAGAGAGAGAGCACGGTTAGATACTGAAAGAATGGAGCAAGAGGCATCCTGGGAAATATTAGATTTGTTTGTTTGTTTGTTTGCTTGCTTGTTTCTTTCTCTTGCCTAAGTTAGATGTCCCAATCTGGAATTTCTATAAATCTTAAAATTAGTGTGTTGATCTCTCCCAACGCACTAATGTTCTCACCATGTTCCTCAAGAACACGGTGAACGCAAACAGTAGCTCTTACGAAAAAGAAAAATAGATTTCACCGCCACTCCCTTTGGTTACACAAAAGCCGCAATGTCACTTAGCAATAAATGGCAGGTCCTTGACTTATGACCACAATTGAGCCCCGACATTTCTGTCGTGAAATGAGACATCCGTTCAGGGCGTTTTGCCCTGTTTTACGACTTTTCTTGCCACGGATGTTAAGCGAGTCACTGCAGTTGATAAGTTAGTCACACGGTTGTTAAAATAAGCCTGGCTTCCCCATGGACTCTGCTTGTCAGAAGGAATCACGTGACCTTAGGACACAGCAACGGTCATAAATATGAACCAGTTGCCAAGCATCTGAATTTTGATCATGTGACCATGGAGATGCTTCAAAGGTCGTAACTGTGAAAAATGGTCATAAGTCACATTTTTCAATGCCATCGTAACTAAATGAATTGTTGTAAGTCAAGGACTAACCTGTTCTGTTCTGTTCTATTCTGTTCTGTTGTTACCTGTATTGTTGCCAAACACCTGAATTTTGATCACGCGATTATGACTTTGAACGGTCACTAAACAAACTGTTGTAAGTCGAGGACTACCTGTATTGACCTCCGAAGGGGCATCTTCCATGCCTTCATTTCTTTCCTTATAAATATGTATCGGTGCCTCTTTCCTCTAACAACAATTCAGTTTTTTTTATTCTGTGTCAATCAGCTGATGAAAGGGATAGAAAATTCTTACCTCTATCAAGAGTTCCCGGGTTAATTGAAAAAATTTGGGGTGCCATAAGCACCCGATGAAAGGCAGAGGAGTCGGTCCAGGTGGGTAGTGTCTTCTACGCAACTGGAGCTTCACCAGTTGGACAATCAGAAGGCAGAGGACGAGCAGGAGGAAAATTGAGCTTAGGGCCATCATTTCTGTGCACCTTCTCCAAGGCGTCTGCTCTGTGATAAGACTTTGTCTGAAAAATCCTTTTGCTCTTCTAATTTTGTTCCCATGGGCGGGATCCTATTCAGAGGATTTAAATTTGCCCTCCCTCTTTGGCAAGACTGCTTCCCATGCTACATCTATGCTCTTGGGGCATTTTCCTCTCGGGAACCGGCTCAGAAAATTATGTTGTAAGGTTAAATGAAAGAAACAGCCAGCCTAACCTGAATAACTTCTCTTACACTTTATGTGTAAGATTAAGAGGGCAGAATATTAAACTGTCAGAAAATTTCTCCTTATTTCTAGATTGAATCGCTCCTTGATTAGTTTCCACCCATTGTTCCTTGTCTGGCCTTCAGGTGCTTTGGAAAATAGATTGTTCCCCCAACTCCTCTCTGTGGCAGCCCCTCAAATATTGAACATGGGGCTATCTTGTCCCAAGGAGTCCCTTTCAGTCAATCCTGAAAGAAACCAACCTTCTTTGGAAGGACAGATCCTGAAGCTGAAACTCAAATATTACTAACTAGGGCATACAAATCCTTTGCCAGACCAATTCTTGAATACAGCTCATCTGCCTGGAATCCACATTGTATATCGGACATTAACACGATTGAGCGGGACCAGAGGTATTTCACGAGAAGAGTACTCCATTCCTCTACTCACAATAGAATCCTTTACACCACCAGGCTTGAAATTGTGGGCTTGGACAATCTGGAACTGCGCTGCCTGCGGTCCGATCTAAGCATAGTACCCAAAATTGTCTGCTACAATGTCTTACCTGTCAACAACTTCTTCAGCTTCAACCACAATAATACACAGACAAACGATCGATACAAACTCCAGGTGAACCGCTCCAAACTCAATTTCAGAAATATGAATTCAGCAAAAAAGTGTTCAATGCCTGGAATGCACTACCCAACTCTGTTGTTACAGCCCCAAACCCTCACAGCCTCAACCTCAAACTGTCTACCATGGACCTCTCCCCAGGGGTGGGATTCAGCTGGTTCGGACCGGTTCAGGCGGAGCGGATGTTAATTTTAATCTGGTTCGCCGAACCAGTTGCTACAATAACTGGCTGACCCCGTCCACCCTGCCCCTCCCCTCCCAGGAGTCTCCACACAGCCCATTTTGGATGCCAGGTAAGTGCAGGGGCTGCATGGAGGTTCTGGGAGGGCAAAAACGGGCCTACTGGAAGTTTCAGAAGGCTGGAAATGGGCCCATTTCCGGCCTCCGGAGGGCTTCCGGAGCCCGGGGGAGCCATTTTCGCCCTCCCAGAGGCTCTAAGAAACCCTCCAGAGCCTGGGGAGGGCAAAAAAATGGGCTGCCCAGAAGTATCGGAAGTATAAAAACAGGTCCATTTCTGGGCTCCGGAGGCCCTCCGGAGCCCAGGGGAGGCTGTTTTTGCCCTCCTGGAGGCTCAAGGAAGGCCTCCAGAATATGGGGAGGGTGAAAATGTCCCCCCTTGATGCAGGAGGCCAAGTAGGCCATGCCCACCATGGCACTGCCCACCCAGCAACCGGGCAGAGAGCCGGTTGCTAAAATTTCTGAATCCCACCCCTGCCTCACCCCATTCCTAAGAAGTCCATAAAGGGGGCATGCATAAGTGCACTGTTGTGGTCCACCAGCAGCCTGCGGAGCTGGCAGCAGAGTTGGACAGTGAGGAGGCTGGGAAGGAACAGGGCCAGTCCAGGAGTCTAGGGAAGGCTCGGACAAGGGCTCTGCGTCAGAGGCAGAGAAAGGGCCATCTGGAAGGTACGTGCTGCCTCTGGAGCCTCCAGAGCCTCAGCGAGGCAGAGGAACAGGAGGAGCCAGTGCGTGCATGCGCAGAGCTGCCACAAGGCAAGAACAGTTAAAACAAAAGGGACAACTCGGGAGTAGGGCTTGGAGATGATTGGCCCCTCTCATAAGACTTAAAAGAGGAGCAAAGGCACACAGGCCTTTGTAGGAAGCAACGTTTGTTCATTCTGTGCAGTTTAAAGTCTGAAGCTCTGTTTGATTCTGGACTCCATGTGGCTTTGCCAATTAGGTCTTTGGCAGCGTGTCAAGGGAGATAAAGGTGGGTGATTATCAGCCTTATCCCAAAGGACTCTTTACAACTATTTGGGACTCATCTGTGAATGAACAGAATTCACAGCTGTTAGAATAAAACAGGTTTTTGGGACTATCATGTGTTTTACTGATTCAGGAAGCCTAGGTCAGAACACACACCAGCGTGCCTACCGTCCCTGTCTTACTGTCCCCATTTACCTGTACTTATTTCCTTTGTTTATGTCTATGTTTATACCTATACCTGCTATCTTGTACATGTTTGACAAACAAAATAAGTAAATAAAATAAATAAATAAATAGTTTGGCCACTAAATGAGAAGAGAGAACTCCTTGGAAAAGACCCTGATGTTGGGAAAAGGCAGAAGGAGAAGGGGATGGCAGAGGAGGAAATGGGTAGATCAGGAGTGAAATGCTACCGGTTCGCTTCTGTTCAGGCGAACCGGTAGTGATAAAAACTGCCGGTTCGGGCTAACTGGTAATTAAAAAAAGCTACTGGTTCAGGCGAACCGGTATTTCCAACGATCAGCTGTGCTGCGCGGTTTAGCTTCGCTAGAAAGCCAGAAATCACGCGGTACAGCTTCTCCCCCCACCCGCTGTTCCACTTACCTAGTAAAGACTTCTTTTTCTGCACGAAGCATGCGTTTGGTGTGCACTCCGCATGTGCGTGTAGTGTGCCTTTGGCACACGCTGCGCACGCGTGTGCAAAGTGTGTTTTTATCACGCACCGTGCATGCACTCACATAGCGCATGTTTGACATGCACCACACATGCGCGGGAAGTGAACCGGTGGTCATTCGAGGAGGATTTCACCACTGGGGTAGATGGTATCATATAGAATAGAATAGAATAGAATAGAATAGAATAGAATAGAATAGAATAGAATAGAATAGAATAGAATAATTTTATTTCTATACCGCCCTTCTCCCGAAGGACTCAGGGCGGTGTACAGCCTATTAAAAACACAAGACAACATCAGTTAAAATAATTTAAAATTATTAAATGAATTCGGCTAAATTTAAAACCCCAGGAATTTAAAACCCAATTTAAAATTGTTATGTTGATAGCCCATATACACAATGAACATGAATTTGGGCAAACACTGAGAGAAGAGAGAAGAGTCGGACATACAACACACGACTGTACAGCGACTGTACAACACACAACCTTCCACAAATTAGAGAAAACATAAAGAATATGAATAAAGTCAGCAAAACTACTAATTACCAGTATTAGTATATATTATAGTATATAACACATATAATATCACAAGCATGAAACCAGTCTTCTCGAGATTAGTGGGACACAACATGGAGCCACTAAGAAAAGAGTTCCACAATTTGAGGAAAGCAAACCCTAACCCTAACCCCCCCAAAACGGCTTCCCTCTCTCTCCATTTCGGTTTTATTTTCACTGCGTGACATTCTGATCTTCCGTTGGCCTGGAATTAAAAACTGCTGCAGCAAAATCTGGGGACAAAATGAAATGCACGTTTTATTGCCTTCGCAGGGGAGCGATTGAATTCCCCCAAAAGGCAGAAATAAAGAATGAAAAGGGCTCTTCTTGACAGCTAACATACAGAGTGAACAAAAAGAAAAAAGAAAAGACGTTTGATAGAGAAATACGCAGTTTGGGAAAGAGAAATAAAACGATCGGTTTCCTCAGATGGCTTGTCAGAAAGATCTTGGAAACGTAGGTGGCTACAAACCAGTTATGAGCCAGTCTTTTGCTGTGGCTGCAGAAAATTCAATATTGCATCATCAAGAATATATTTTCCAAATCATGGCAATTAATCGGAGTACAGGTAGTTCTCGACTTACAACAGTTCATTTAGTGATGGTCCAAAGCAGGGGTGAAATGCTACCATTTCGGGCCGGTTCACCTGAATCGGTAGTAAAAAATGCTACCGGTTCGCTGAACCGGTATTAAAAATGTAAAAAAAATAAAGATTCTGACGATCAGCTGAGTGACACGCGATCGTTGGAATTTTTTATTTTTTTTTTAGCATTTTTTTACTACCGGTTCTCTGGAACCGGTAGTTAAAAATGCTTTAAAAAGTAAAAAAAAAAAAAATATTCCCACGATCGTGCATCGCTCAGTTGATCGTTGGAGCTTTTTTTTTTACTTTTTAAAAGCATTTTTTACTACCTATTTGCCCAAGCCGGTAGTAAAAAATGCTTTTTAAAAGTTTTTTTAAAAAGGTTCCCATGTGCGCCACAGCTGATCACACACACACTCCTGCACACTGTTCTACTGACCTTCCCAAGCCTCCTTTTGGTTTGCACTGCACATGTGCGTGCACAGCCCATGCTTGATTTGCACGCACAGCATGCATTTGACGCATGCGTGGCCAGCAAACCAGTAGTAAACCGGTTTGGATTTCAGCACTGGTTGAAAGGTACAACGGCACTGAAACGTATGTAACATGAACGTTTTTCACACTTAGAACCTCTGTAGCGTCCCCCTGCTTGTGTGATCAAAAATTCAGACGCTTGGCAGCTGGTTCCTACTTATGACCATTGCTGTGTCCCAAGATCACACAATCCCCTTTTGCACTTTTTGACAAGCAAAATCCATGGGGAAATCAGATTCACTTAAACAACCATGTTACTCACTTATCAACTGCAGCGTTTCACTTACTGTTAACAATCGTGGTGAGAAGACTCGTGGTGTAAAAGGGGACAAAACTCACTTCGCAAAGGTCTCACGTCACAGCCAAAATGTTGGGCTCAATTGTGGTCGTAAGTCTTGGACTACCTGTATCTGTTTGTCACAAGTGTGATACACACACAGAAACAAAACCAAGGAAAGATTTGATCACGCTGTTGCAGCAGCCACAATGATTTTAATTAACGTCTGTGTGGATGTTCTTGGCAATGGCTTGGGCCTACCTTGACTATCTGGGCCATCAAAGACTCACAAAAGGAATAAGAAGGAAGGGAGAAAATAGGACAACGCCTACTTCAAAAATGGTTCACAGACGATACTTGG